TTTTGACCAATGTCAATGAAAATATAATTTTAGAAATACTTAACTATATAGAAAAAAATTATCACACATTTATATTCAAGCTTTATGAAAATGACAATAAGATTACGGATCAGTAGGTCATCAATTCATTTATCCGATAAGCCGATAATGTTATTTTTTTTAATGTTCGGCCATTGAACACCCTACAACTTGCACAATTTCAAAGCAATGAGTAAAATGTATACGCTAATAATAAAAAAAGAATATATCGTAGGCAGAAAAAAGTATTGAAGCAATTGAATGAAATATCAAACTAAAATATTCTACTATTTATAAAAAAAAAAATCAGATTGTGGTTTTTTCAGAAGCATATCAAGTGAAGTTGATATACGAGTCCTGTAATCTTTTAAAACGCGAACATACGTAATTCCAAATTAAACTTTTTTTCGTTGGGTATAATACCTATGATTTAGACTTTGAATAATACACATTCTGGCTATCAAGATAAGATAATTTTCTGTAATAAAAGTTTATTTATTGATCAGTGTTGTAAGAGGTAACCTATGTATCCAGTCAATAAGATATGCTCGTCAATTACACTTGACTATTGTTACTATTAGACTGATCATAGGGACTTATCTACCATACTAGTCTGATGAAGTACCTATACAACTACATAGTCAATATTTACTCACCAGATACCAACAAGTAATAGTGATAACATACAGGAACTTAGAGATATATTGTACGACAAAACTAGGCAGGGCCTAGCAGTCGGACATAAACAAAACATTTTCTCATCAAACAGCTTAGGGTATGATGCGTGGGATGTGAACTAAAAAAAGTTCAAAAGATCGTTTATGTATCTTTTCGGAATAAAAATAGCTTAAGCGCACATGAAAAAAATATATTCTTTCTTTAACATTTTATTGTATCAATCTGCTATTTATTTCTACTAGTAAATCTATTCGCGTTGTTACAAGTATATTTTTAAATGATAACTCTTGCAATCAAAATTGCTCATGCTGATTAACTACAAAACAAAAAATAATGGCCTTGTCAATAAAACTAGATGACGACATGTTAGACAATTCACGTTCTTGCCAATAAAACTAATCGACAGAATGCCAGACAATTCATTTTATTGCTAATGAAACAATATGACCGCCAGTAAGAGAACTTTACAGACTGCAAGACCATTCACGGTATTGCCAATCAAAATAGTTGATAACATACAAGACAAGTCAAAGTCTTGCTGAATAAACTAGATTACATCATGTAAGACAATTCACCGTCTTGTCAATTAAACTGCTGAGTTGACATCTTGAAAGACAATATAATATCTTGAAAATAAAACAATACTGGTTGACAGCGTGTGAGACAATTTCCTTCCTTGCCAACAAAACTAATTAACAGTCTCACGGCTTTGTCTATAAAAATAGATGACAGCCTGCAAGATAATACTCGGCCTTGCGATTTTAAAACTAGTTGACAGCCTGCAAGACAATTCACGGCCTTGCAATAAAACCAGTTGACATCCTGGAAAACAATGCAAGGCCTTGCTAACAAAACTAGTTGACAGCCTGCAAGACAATTCACGGCCTTGCAATAATACCAGTTGACAGCCTGCAAGACAAGTCATGGCCTTGCCAATAAAACTAGTTTACAGCATTCATGAACATTTAGAAAAGTATCCAGAAGCTGTACGTGTGAACATTATATAAAAAAAACCTAACACGACGATGATATGTACAAAACACAACAATCAATATAACAACGTGTGGTTTCTAAACGGAACCGCATTCCCTACAACAACTTGTTGTGTTGGAATAAAAGAAATTTCTACAACAGTGTGTTGGCATGAACATTATTTTCTTCAATGCGGTATTAGTATGAAATATCATTTCGTAAACCATGCAATATTTTCAACAACCTAATGTCGGTATGAAAGAACATTTTCTATAACGGCATTTTGTATGAAAGTGTATTTCTACAAAACAATGCTGGTATGAAAGAACATTTCAGTTTGTTAACAAATCAAAAAACGAATGACAAAGCAGCCGAGAAAAAAATATCAGTAAGATGCGAAAAACATTTTCTTAAAATAAGAGCATTGGGCGACTGAAAAGAATCCCCGTTCTGGCAGTTGGTTCTGTGTGATGGCTTTATATGTGTCGATGAAACGATGTAGAAAGCCTGCTTACTTTCCTAATAGTCTTATTTGATGTTATTTTTGGAAGGTTGGCCATATAGACGTCCTGCTAAAAAGGAACATGATGATTTTGTTTGATCCTGTTGTATCCCAGGGGTTTATAACTATCTGGCAATAAGATATACGCAATTAATTCAGTGCATAACCATTAGCATCCAAATATAATTGAATTTTCAAATGATAAAATCATCCAGTGAAAGTGTTTTATCATTATGTATTCAACAATAAAGTCAATTTTAAGGTAAAATGAATGAAGAGGAAGCCTGGACTTAAAAAGTAAATGACAATCGCTGTGAGAACGGATCTAGCTTTAAATAGACTTTGAAGTTTATACTGGTATATTTGTACATTACTGTATTTGTATATATAAGATCAAAAGAACTGACAGGTATTAAATTTATTCAAAATCACTCCCCGTCTGTGTACATAATTGTAGCAAATAATGTTGACCTGTCGCTCTTCAAATATACTTAATTCAATAAGGACCACAAAGTATGCTCCTTCTCAACATTCCTCATAGGGAAAATGTAAATTTTAAAACACCAAATATTATGCATTGAGTGCGAGTTTAAATTATTTTCATATTAATAGGAATTTTATCAAAAAAAAATAAAAGCGATTAACATTTCATATTAAACTAAAAATGGTTCATTCAATCATGAGAAAACGTTTAACTCAGATAAGAATGTAGTTTTCAAACGTTTAACTCAGAAAAGAATGTAGTTTTCAAACGTTTAATTCAGATAAGAATGTAGTTTTCAAACGTTTAACTCAGAAAAGAATGTAGTTTTCAAACGTTTAACTCAGATAAGAATGTAGTTTTCAAACGTTTAACTCAGATAAGAATGTAGTTTTCAAGCGTTTAACTCAGATAAGAATGAAGTTTTCAAAAGTTCAACTTAGATAATAATGTTGTTTTCAAACGTTTAACTCAGATAAGAATGCAGTTTTCAAACTTTCTCTCGCATGAAAGCTTTATAGAAATTAACTCAAACTCACTGAGTACAACATGCCGTCTTTTTGTTCAAATGAATGCATCAAAAAAGCACAATTTACAGTGGACACTACAACATGGAAGTCCCATGTACAAAGGACACTTAGCTTTAAACAGCAACAAATCACATGTACACAGGACACTTAGCTTTAAACAGCAACCAATCACATGTTCACAGAACACTTAGCTTTAAACAGCAAACCAATAACATGTTCTCAGGACACTAAGCTATAAACAGCAACCAATCACATGTTCACAGGACACTTAGCTTTAAACAGCAAACCAATAACATGTTCTCAGGACACTTAGCTTTAAACAGCAACCAATCACATGTTCACAGGACACTTAGCTTTAAACAGCAAACCAACAACATGTTCCCAGGATACTTAGCTTTAAACAGCAACCAATCACATGTTCACAGGACACTTAGCTTTAAACAGCAACCAATCACATGTTCACCGGACACTTAGCTTTAAACAGCAACCAATCTCATGTTCACAGGATACTTAGCTTTAAACAGCAACCAATTGAAGTCACATGTACACTGGACAATTTACTTTAAAAAGAAACCAATTACATGCGAGAATGAACATGAATGAGCACCTCGTAATGGTTTTGTTTACACAGTGCGAAGCAATATTTCTGAATCGGAAGTATTCACTATAGGGGCCAGTTCTCGATTAATAATATCAGTGTACTTATATGAAAAAAACTTGTATGAAAACTCGACTTTGATTATATATATGTAATTTGTTACGGAAAAGGTGTAATACTATTTTTTTAATTCATAAATTGTTTGCCCAACAAGATAACCATATGATTCAGCACGCGACATAACGACGATAGAATAATAGGAAAGATTTAGTAGTATAAGAAAGGTTCGTCTCCATGTAGATTGGTATTTCAAGTGGTCAACTTGTATATTAACCTTGAAGAATAAAGTCTTTTAGTGCAAGAGAAAAGAAACCATACGACTTTTACAAAAAGAAAAGCCATAAAAATGACAAAAACGAATAAAGTGGTATACTTTGACGAACTGGGCGATAAATGTGTGGATTAATTCAATCATTTTGGCTGTCATATTTGGATTATAACGTCTTTATTGGTTTTTTAATCCTGTTATATTCCAAAAAGGCAGTCTATATTTGTTACGGGAAGATTTCAATTCACCTTTCATTTATTACTTTCGTTCAGGAGTAAAATCAACATTGAAAGAAACAACGATCTTATGGGTATTTATTAAAAATTGAATACCTAACTAGAAAACTATCCGAAATATGTTTGGGAAAGCGTTATATTAACGAATAAAATAATCAATTATTGCAGTGATATTGCGTCGAAATTGCAGGTCAATAAGGATGATACAAAAATAATAAACGTTGAACCCACCGCATCGAATTCCTGTACACGTTCAATCAATGTTCACCATTTACAGTTACAAAAAATAATGAAAACGTTGAACCCGTCGCACGGAATTCCTGTACACCTTCATTCAATGTTCCCCATTTACAGTTACAAAATTAATGAAAACGTTCCAACCCACCGCATGAAATTCATGTACACGTTCAATCAATGTTCCCCATTTACGCTCTGTATGAATTCACGAGACAAACATATACCTGTTCCCAAACAATCACCAAAGGTCAGTCAAGTTGACCATTCCCATATTGTCCACGGTCGTTTTCACATGTTAATTAAATACCCTTCAGTATGTATGCTGAGACAAAATTTAAGAACGGCCAAACCTTTTGAAGTATTAAAACCAAAGATGTCCTAAAGAAAACATTTTAATATATTTGTTTTGTTTGTTTGTAGGAACCAGAGAGACTGCTTTCATCTATTCCATATTAAGTGCTGGTGTGACTGATTCTGTAACCAGAGCTTGTAGTGCCGGTAACCTTACAGACTGTGTATGTGATCCTACCAATGATGGCAAGAATTCTGTAGAAGGATGGGTGTGGGGCGGATGCAGTGACAATGTACAGTATGGACTAGAATTTAGCCGCAAGTTTGTTGATGCACCGGAAGTGCTTAAACATCAAGATACGCAAAGTATAAGAAATAAAATGAATATTCATAACAACGAAGTAGGCCGACGGGTAAGAAAGTGTTTTTTCATTATATTTTGTCTTTTATAAGTACTAGTTGCTGTTATTAAGTATATTGTCGAAAACCCTTCTATAGAACTTCAGGTTAGGAAAATTTCAGAAAAATGCAGGTATGTCACTCCTACCAGTGGTATTGTCTTTAGTACAGAAAAGAAAAATATGTTTTAATCTCCCAAAAAATGGAAATCAAAGTTTCTGGTTTCGACAATTGTGAGTTTAAATTTTTCATATCGGACCAAGAGAAACACTAAACTTCAACGTGTGCTATCACAGTCACTTGACACCGTTGGGGTATCTCTATCATACCACCAACATTCAACATTCAATTTGTAGATCTTTATCACAATTGTTTACTGTTAAAATGATTTTGTTCGATTTAACAATAGATTTTGGATAAATACCCGTAAACAGGGTGTTAAGTGTTACGGGTATCGCTCAATCACAGTAATGAGGCTTAAATAAGTCTGTTTTACCGCCCCTTAGAAATATGCACGGCTGATCAAAGAGGAGGTTCCACAATGAAGGAATTTTAACAATTGTTATAATTCATCAATTCTCCCGCGTCTCAAATTTTTAAGTGTTATGTTATGGAGAATTTATCAGTGAAAATGATTTAATTTCTTACCACTACGAAATGACTAGTTTCACCAATGAACATTACAACTGTACTTTAATTCATAGCAGGTTTTATATAACCCTTAATCTTAACACGAGGACTACAGCAGCTTTTACACATTACCAGAAGTATATGCTAAAACTGAAACAATTCCACTTAAAATTGTAAAAACCAATACGCATAACATATGTCGTAATGATACTAGTCATTGATATCTTGTTAGAAATTCCCTTCGTCTGAAATTACAGAAATAAAATATGAACCTGTTGTTAAAAGTTAATAGCGTCCATAAGTTTTGTATAGTCATAAGAGAGAAATGTCTGACTGGTACAAACGATAGGGATTTGACAACTATAGAACCCCTTTCCCTGTATGTTATTTTGGTGATTAAGCACCGCCACAAAAGACGAAGTACTGGAATACTGTTAAATACAAAAAAAAATAAGGGGATGTGGTATGATTACCAATGAGACAACTGTCATTCAATGACCTAAGTATAGACCTAATTACAGAAGACCAACTTTTTTTTCACTTTAGAAGTTTTGAAGCGACATCTTAGACCTTGATATCCAATCGGAATGAGCCTTGCAAATAGATAGGGCCATTTTCCCTAAAATTGTTTACCACTAGCGCCATTTCCAAATATATATATATATATATATATATATATATATATATATATATATAGATTGCCTAACAATGTAATTTTAACACACTATTTAGTATGTAAATATAAGAATGTTTAAAATATTTACAAAATGATGAAAATAAACGCAATATTTCGCTAGACTAACTAGCTTTATCAAGCGTGCATCTATCCAGGTGAAATCGGATGTAGATGATAAGAAACTTTTGCAGCTCAATGTATATGTTGCACTTGAATTTAGCTGCCTTGAAAATAATACATAATTTGGATGAAGTTCAAGATTTTTACAAAATTGGTAGTTGAAGTTAGCAACGTCCATTGGCCAATATTACAGGATAAAAAGGACGATGCTGTGTACTAAATTATTCTTTATCTTTCCTGTATCTTTTCTCATCTTTTTCGTTAAGACCATCAGGTTCTAAAGTGTGGAGTTGGTGGATCCAAAAATTTTCTCTTCTCCTTCTCGCCGTGGTGTCCCACTCGGTGTTGACTTCTATGATTTGGAAGGTAACATTATCAAAAGAATGTTTCGTTGAACGAAGATGTCTTGTGAGAGGACAGTTTTTGTTGGTTTTGTACCATGAACGATGGTTATTGAGCCGAATATTAAATTTGTCCATTGTTTCTCCCACATACTGAATGCCACATGTGTCACATGTTAATATATAAATTGAGTTCTCCGTTTTACAGTTGGAATTTGAGTAGATGGTATAATTTTGTTTAGTAACGGAGCTCCGTTATACCATCTACTCAAATTCCAACTGTAAAACGGAGAACTCAATTTATATATTAACATGTGACACATGTGGCATTCAGTATGTGGGAGAAACAATGGACAAATTTAATATTCGGCTCAATAACCATCGTTCATGGTACAAAACCAACAAAAACTGTCCTCTCACAAGACATCTTCGTTCAACGAAACATTCTTTTGATAATGTTACCTTCCAAATCATAGAAGTCAACACCGAGTGGGACACCACGGCGAGAAGGAGAAGAGAAAATTTTTGGATCCACCAACTCCACACTTTAGAACCTGATGGTCTTAACGAAAAAGATGAGAAAAGATACAGGAAAGATAAAGAATAATTTAGTACACAGCATCGTCCTTTTTATCCTGTAATATTGGCCAATGGACGTTGCTAACTTCAACTACCAATTTTGTAAAAATCTTGAACTTCATCCAAATTATGTATTATTTTCAAGGCAGCTAAATTCAAGTGCAACATATACATTGAGCTGCAAAAGTTTCTTATCATCTACATCCGATTTCACCTGGATAGATGCACGCTTGATAAAGCTAGTTAGTCTAGCGAAATATTGCGTTTATTTTCATCATTTTGTAAATATTTTAAACATTCTTATATTTACATACTAAATAGTGTGTTAAAATTACATTGTTAGGCAATCTATAATTTTATTTGTGTAATTGAATTAATCTCTGTACTGATTAATCCACACTCCCATAGATTTGTATGTCATGTGCTGCTATTTATAGGCACTTATATATATATATATATATATATATATATATATATATATAGGCTGTGATTTGTTTTTATTTCAATTTAATGTTATCATAGCTTTACGTGTGTTCTTCGAGATCTTAAAACATTATGTTTTTTACGTTAACAGAATTATAAATGATTAAAGTTGGATCAAAACTGCGATTCTGAAAGAATTTGATGAATTTTGATAATAAAATAAATCATAACCAACATGAAAGTTCTATCAGAAGTAAAATTCAATTTTAAACTATTCTTTCTGAAGTAAAGCTTTGTCTTACCATTCAGGTTGGAAGGAAAGCTATGTATTGTCATTCAGTTTCAAAATACATGTAATTCTTTTTGGTTACAAAGGTGTGTCAAAGAAATGTTTAACAAAAGATATAAGTTTGTAATATTGTAAAGAAAATTGTTTTTAACGGTAACGTTTAGTCCTGATATATCAAATCAAATCATTCAGACTCCTTCATATTCAAATTCCACTCGGTTTCACCAGCTTTCTAATTTACACCTTCTGAGTGAAATATATAATAGGGAAATTGGCCGTCTTTTTATCATGAAGAAAAAGGGTCAATTCTCTATGGAACAAAAATAGGGAATAGAGGCTTACTTGTAGGTAAAATATTAGTAATTTGTTTGTTTGCTTTTATATGTGTCAAACCCGCATGTTAACTCAGGGTAAAGTACATTTACTTGGTAAATGGAAAAAGATACTAAGAGAAAAAATAATGCACAGAGAAGTAATTTTACATCTGTTCTGTTAAGAATTCATAATTTTTTTTTTACAAATTTATGTATGTTTTGAATATGTCAATTTACTATGTAATGTTATCGCATATAGATCAGAAGACTATTTATCGAAGTTTGAATTTTGTTAAAAATTTACTTAAATTTGTAATGACAACTTTTGAATAAAATTTAATAACAAAACACGACTTTCCGACATTAGATTGTCAGCATTTATACGATCTTTACAAAAATGTTGACAGATATTAATGTTTTAAATTCAAAAATATGTTTTCTTTTCATAATGCAATGTGAACAATGTCATGTAAATTTTCATCACATCCCCATTAAGTTTCCAACCCATTAAATACCAATATAAGTGGTTATATTTAATAAAGTTAGGACTGAATCTGTATATGGAGATTTTACTGGGTCGGTAAATCTGATCGTAGTTTAAGTCTCCTACTGTTAATCTGTAGAAATATTACATTATTTAGCTTTTAAAGACAGAAAGGCGTTCGTGCAGAGCTGTATTGACAGCTACCCAAGTAAACATAATTATACACTGATATTAATAATGTAAAGCGCCCTTTCAAGTTAAAATAGACAGATATCCACATCCTGATGAATAATTCTACGTTTTATTGCTCTGCTTATAATAGACTATAATTTAATTAAACATCAGAAATTGAGGGGTAGATGTTTTATCACTTATTTTAAGTTCGTTTTACATTTTTTTTCTAAAGAATTTCATTTCTGAGTACATTTTTATCCATTAAAGGTTGACAAACCTGTAGAGAGAAAAAAACGGTCTACTAGAAGATTAAACCAACTGTTTTCCAAGTTAAAATATTATAATTTGAACTTGTCAATAGGAAGCACGTTGTATAGTGCACTGAACCCTTTTTCTTGCGTTCTGCTCCCTCAAGTAAATTTTATTATTAAGAGGTATTTGCTCACGGTTCTGTTGAGGCGCTTTCTGGTCTTAGTTCTCTCCAATGTTTTTGTTTTCGCTTTCTAAACGCAGTGGTAGCACTTTATCGAGTTCTGTCATGTCAAATTTGGCTTATGATTCAGTTTGTATGAACAAAATATATGTTTGAAGAGGTAAATCAAAGATGTCATGCAAAATATGATTTATGATATGGTAGTCAGATTTTTTATTTGAACAATGTAATTTATGAGAATGTTTTAAATTTTTTTTTAAAAGGTGCATACACATTCAAGTTAAGCGCTCGTAGATATATCCCTGTCCAAAATGATTGACAAGGAGGCCCCAAAAACAAGATCCTCACATATATCCCATTTCCAAATGAAAATGACATGGGGAGTTCTATTTATCCCTGTTGACAAAAGGGATTCCAATATATCCCCTTTCAAATCCAAGTAAGATACATATATTAAAAACATGCCACGTTTGGGTGGATTTTAGTTTTTAATGGATCGCCTACTACATCTCAGAATGAATTTTGTCTTATCTTCTTTAATATAAATTGTATTTATCTTTAGCAAACAATTCTTTTTTTTTCAAAAATCACTTTTCCAATCTTGCGTACATGGAAATCAACACAAAAATCACATTTTAAAATCATTGATGTGAATAAGACTACTTCATTCCTTTCAATCTGACGATCTCATCTCTGTAGGAACTCGCTTCATGTGAGGAAATTTATTTCAAAATTTAGTTTAAGTATACTATTATGATGTGTAAAATAAATACATCAAGCATAAGGTTGTCTTAGTTAGCACTAGGACGTCCGAATCTCTCTTTTCGTATTTATCCGCACCAGTAACCAATTCGTTTACATTGATGATATTAATGCAATGAGGTTGAATAGTTTTTGAGCTATTTAAATGCAGGAATGTGATTGAAAGACGGAATTATATTCTATGGAAATTGTGTATAGGGTAAGAGGATTAAAAACGGTCCAATATTTATCCTGAACCGAATTTAAAATCGAAATAAAAAATGTGGTTATTTTCCAAAGAATCGGTTTAAAGTTTTAAAATTCTCTGTTTTTCTTGTAAATAAGTTAAAGTAACACAGCCAGCGGCATTTCTCTCCGATATACACGATGGTGTAAAAAATAAATGCACAACACACACATTCTAATGACAGAATTTAAAGGAATTCCCTTTTAAAGGGTAAAACTCCTCGAAAAGACCCGTGCAAGTGATTTAGTGAAGGCGCAGTTTTTTTTTTGTTATGTATCACTTACAAAAGTCTCAAGTTCACAGTATCCAAGCTTAAGTTCACAGTATCCAAGCTAGAGACAAGTCTCAAGTTCACAGTATCCAAGCTAGAGACAAGTCTCAAGTTTACAGTATCCAAGCTAAAGACAAGTCTCAAGTTCACTGTATCCAAGCTATAGACAAGACTCAAGTTCACAGTATCCAAGCTAGAGAAATGATTCTGATAGAATTTTTTTTTAAATATGAATTTCATTCAAATGAGTTTCTAGTATCTATTTACGTTATCTATTGGTGCTTTATTGAAATGTTTTTTTTTTTCAGACTGTGAGAGATATGATGAGGCTTCGATGTCGTTGCCATGGTGTTTCTGGGTCATGTGAAATTCAAACATGTTGGAAGAGCTTACCAAAATTTAGCACTGTTGGAGCGAAACTGAAAGAAAAATACGAAATTTCAGTGAGAATAGCTGGTAGATCGAAAAGAAAGCTTAGACCAAAAACACCAAAACGTCATAGACAAGCCCGAATCGGACGTAAGAAAAGATTATCAAAAGACGATATGGTATTTGTCCATAAATCTCCAAACTTTTGTACGCCAAATCCTATAAAAGGTATTTTAGGTACTGAGGGTCGCCTTTGTAATAGAACAGGTTCAGGACCCGAAAGTTGTGATTTGTTATGTTGTGGTCGGGGATATAATACTCAGGTTGTGAGACTAACAGATAGATGTCAATGTAGATTTATTTGGTGTTGTTATGTTGACTGTAAAACTTGTGAGACCTTGTTTGATAGACATACCTGTAAATAAAATATAGGACTGGCAGTTCGAATGAAAGTCTGGCGATTGTTCATTATGCAGTTATTGTATTGTATATATAGTCCGTTATTTACGTTGCCAGCCGAATCATGGTACTGTTTTAAGTAACCGGAATATCAGCTTAGGATAATAGACTGCTCAGTAGAATGAATATACGTGAATGTGTAAGACAAAGTGAAAATCGATACATTTCACGTGCGAATGTCGATGGATAGTAAATCTAACTGTTTGAACAGTGATACCTCATAACATTTGCTTTGTCAAATATGTAATAAACTTGCATGCAAATATGTACTTTGCAACGTCGAATAACGTCTCGACCTAAACCTGAATGATGCAATCTGTTTATGCTTTACAAGTTGGATGTTATCATCTGGAGTAATACAAACACAACAGTTTTGCTCATTTCACTTCGATTTCCCAACTTTGTAGTACGTTGAAATAGTAGATTTTGGAGAACCGTGGTACTTGGCTGGATTGGTCACCGTTTTTTTAATTCTTGGTTAATATTTCCCGGCACCTTTATCAAATGTTCTTACGATGAATGTTAAATCATTTTTTTTAAAAGAATAATACATTTTGCTCCCACTACCTTACAATTCAGACTTCTTTGATAGAAAAAAAGTTTGTCATTTATTCACTTTTAAGCTTCAGTAAAAGTGTCGGGGAGGGGGTTAATACACGGATGCTGTCTCTGTTTTGTGAAAACGGATCTTATTTTCAAAGAAGCAAGCTTAAGTATCTACCTCGGTATTTTTTTTTTATACATACCCGGTTTTATAATCAGCAATGCTATAAGAGAGGCGGGAAATTTAACCAAAGAAGAAAAAGGGAGAGGTCAAACCAGTCAGCAAGTACTTTTAAGATGGAGAAGCGGTGAAATAAAAAGGATTTTTTTTCACAATCAACGTACATGATTAGAATGTAAGAACCACTTTTGCACATAGAAAAAACATTAAACTAATCACGCAACTGTGCAAGACATGGTAATTTATTCCTTTTACATTTGTTACTGTCTTAATTTGAGAGTTATCCCCCCCCCCTTTTCAGTATAGACTAATCAGATTTATTTATTTCTTTTAAGATCTGATGTAAATTCAGGATTCTAGATATCTTTGAAGAGACGATAATATATCACATAAAAAGATATAGTATTAAACTATAATAGTAAATTGATGATTTTTTTTTCAAATTGTTGTACTTAAATTAGAATACCTTTCGTAAAATATGAGTTTAAGAGAAAAGATTTTAAGGTTGCCACAGTTCTTCATAGACAGTTTTTTTTCTATAGTTTTGATGATTAAATATGTTGTAACATATATTACACCATCCCTGCAGAATAGAGCTACTCGAAACAATTGTTATTTATTGTTGCAGTAAACAAAGAATTTTTGGCAAACTTTACAAGTTTCAAGGGCGTCATTATTTATACGGGGTTAAACAAAAACTATATCCCAAGTGTTAACTTACATAACTAATAAAAATAACATCTTTAGTTATGATCAAATTGAAAAAAAGGATTTTATTGTGTTGTTTAGAATCCTCGTGATCATAACAGTGCATATTTTCAATCGGGATTTGAGAAAGTATAAAATTGACAGAATTATAACTCTCCTTGAATGTCGCAATACTATTACAATTATATCAACACCATGTGCTTGACATTTATGGGAAAATCATCTTTAAATTCTGATCATTATTTAGAAGTTTTGCCTTGTATACATGTATGTTTATGTTGTTTTGTTTTTTCACTGTCATTTTACATAGTGCATTCCTTCATTATCATTGTATTTTATACATGTTTAGTTTTTGTTAAGTTATTTTGTAAAAAAAAATAATAGTAAAGTTTTATCTATGAAAGAAGTTTTTTTATTTGTAAAGTGTAATAAAACAGTGAAATTCTATATACTGTTTAATAATGTAAGAGGATTTGTCCAAAACCTTTGTCACTATATCAAAGCACGACAAGACGTGTGAGACATTGTAACGAAACATTTTGGTTTACGAGTTCCATTTTATGTATTATTCGAATACGATTCGATAAATGAAAGAGAAAAAAAACATAGCGGAAACAGGCGATCGAAATTTTGTTTAAAAACTTGTGTGTAAGTATTTGTTAGTTTGTTGTTTGTATATATATTTAGAGTTCTTACAGGTTAGATATTGCTGATGTCTGTTATTGTTTGAATTATTCTTGAGTTCATAGGCGACAGGGCGGTATTGGTCTCTTAATTTTTTAGTCAAACATATTGATAATCAGCATAAAATTAAATATACTAGATATTTACTAAAAATCAACTTCACTCATACAGAGGGACCGATGCTGCAACTCTTTTTCTCGTCAAAACCATTTTGATGACGACAAAAAATGTCTTGGGTTTAGAATGTTCACGTTATTAAACAAGTGATGCATTTTTATGATACATATTATTCGTGCATTGTATACATTAGAAAATATTACTTCTCAATATGAATAAAACAAATATGTTGGGTATTTGTCAATGAGACAGTAACCAAACTAGACAGAAAATTTAAAGACATCTAGATGTCAACATGAGGTCTTCAATAGATATGTATGTCGAGCTGTAAATCGGCCTATTGATATACAAAATATGAGGAGGCTATCTAAGATATGCCACCAATAAAATAACAACAACAAAACACAACATTAAAATTGTCTTAAATGTGTTTGATACGAAATATTATAGTTATTCGAATCGTTATTTTCATATTACACAGAGCTAAATCGGCTGATAGAGCCAATGTGAGCTGTGTCTTTCTTCTAGTTCCATAGATCATTTGCATGAGATTGCCAGGAACACGGTATTGAAGGTCTTTGTAAAAACACCGATTTTTACTTTCATCACGACAGGCAAAAGAAGCATGTCTGCCAGAGGCTGTTTTTCATTTTGTTTGGCATATTTTTTGAAATGATGCAACGAAGGCTTTATTGATCCGGAAAGCGATTCAAATTTTCAACTTTTTATCTTAAACTACATTGGAACTATGAACCAAAGTTAACAGGTTTAATGTATGGAAGGAATATTATACATACAATTGCGCTGTCATTTAGCTGAAAAGATGACCAACAAGAGGCAATTTTTGATTGTGATTATACATATTTAAAATATTTTCTCTGCAGAAAATACGAGACCAAATTGTTTCAAACTTATTAGAAATGATAATTGGAAGGCTGTATATAGAATTCTTTCATGGTAAAGTTCAAATGTTTTTTTTTGTCTGAAACGTTAAAGCTTATCTGAACCAAACTTTCCGTAGATAATATAACGAAGTCGTCCATAAAATGTATTACTAGTATTCTGTCAAAAAGTCAGGATACTCAAACTGCATAAGTAGATATGAAACAAGTGGTAATTTTACTAGAAATTGTCTAGTAGTTTCGGTAGAGAAAATTTTATTTCCTGTGGAATTACTAGGTGTTCAACATTGACCCAAGCAATATAAAAATAAGGAGATGCAGTATGATTGCCAATGAGACAACTATCCACCAAAGTTCAAATGAAGTGGATGTAGATTGTCTTAACAGAATATTCAAACGGGGAGGGGGGGGTCTAGCATCCAGAAAATTTAAACTTACATTTTTGTTCAATGGAGGGAGTTAATCAAAAGACTTTACGGAAATAGGAACATCATTTTTAAAAAGATAGGCTATATGAACCTGTTAGAGTATAGCAATACCCTGTTTCTTACATCGCCTGCATGTCTAAGAACTACCTGACAGTTGGGTTTCCACCTTTCTTACGTTAATTCACATCTTTCAAAACGAATTTTCTGTCAGTGTAATGCATAAAAGGATAATAAAATCATCAAACATATTAGACATTTCACCAAACCACATCAACAATCAACAATGAATAACACATGGTCCTGATAGCTTGAATGGGTACAGTCACGAAAATTGGATGGGTTAAACCCGTTGTACATGTGCACAACCATTTGCCTATATAGCCAATACTATGTCGTCAAAGAAGAAAAAACACAATACAAAATCTTAATAGTCCAATTACCATCAGAATGACCAACATATGCTGATTACGCAACATATCATCTACGTTTTAAATTGACTTTAAAAAAATATGGTCGCATTCTGTAGCCAGCAGTAGTATATTAGGTATAGTCTGAATAACTTTACTAGACCATTCATTCTTGAAAATTTAAAATTTACTAACTATACTTTTACTATTATTTAATGTTGAAGATTGGCAGAGGCAGATCTTAGTAATTTTCAACAGAATTTTCCAAAAAAGGGTCGAGGCAGCCGAAAACTTTACTGACAATTCTGCAATGTGACCGTGAAAAGGTTTTATGGAACTGAGAACATGTTTTTGTCCAAAGTGGGACGAAAAAGAAAATCTTTGAAAGAAGCACTGCTCTGTGACTTACACATTTAAAATCCATTCCGTTATGGTCCTTTCAAAATCATGGCCACTAAATGCAATTCTTGATTCTGATTGGTTATTTTTTTTTCATTTGTGCTCTTAATCTACAATTCCAATTATAGGAATGACGATTGTATACTATTGATAAGGATTACTTAGTTCGTTCAGATTGATAGACGATTGTATACTAAGGATTACTTAGTTCGTTCAGATTGATAGACGATTGTATACTAAGGATTACTTAGTTCGTTCAGATTGATAGACGATTGTATACTAAGGATTACTTAGTTCGTTCAGATTGATAGAATATGTGGCAGTTATGATGCCACCTAGATTTCAAAAAAAAGTTTATGATAAATAAGATTTGATTCTTTTCTCTGTAAACACACGAATAATCAAGAATAAAGTTTGCTAAAAATAAAATAATAGGCATTTTGAATACAACAGAAACTAGATATAAAATCAAAGGACTAACGGAGCTGTAACGAAATATTCTCAAGTAAATTTTGACTAAAAAGCCAGGACCCTTAAACTCAGTGGGAAAACCGGCGAGTCCATAACAAAAGAAAAGTAACTTTATAACCGACTAAGGTGGCAAATCCGACATTTTGTCGTCAGTAATCACACTGTCATTAAAGGTTATTTCGAAACCCCAATTATACACTTCAAAATTATGTTTGACTCTGTTGTTTAGAATATATCATCTTCGCTAGCCAATTGTTACGATCCAGTCCCCTCCTCTCGTAATATATCATCTTCGCTAGCCGATTGTTACGATCCAGTCCCCTCCTCTTGTAATATATCATCTTCACTAGCCAATTGTTACGATCCAGTCCCCTCCTCTCGTAATATATCATCTTCGCTAGCCAATTGTTACGATCCAGTCCCCTCCTCTCGTAATATATCATCTTCGCGAGCCAATTGTTACGATCCAGTCCCCTCCTCTTGTAATATGTCATCTTCGCTAGCCAATTGTTTCGATCCAGACCCCTCCTCTCGTAATATGTCATCTTCGCTAGCCAATTGTTACGATCCAGTCCCCTTCTCTCGTAATATGTCATCTTCGCTAGCCAATTGTTACGATCCAGTCCCCTCCTCTCGTAATATATCATCTTCGCTACCCAATTGTTACGATCCAGTCCCCTTCTCTCGTAATATATCATCTTCGCTAGCTAATTGTTACGATCCATTCACCTCCTCTCGTAATATATCATCTTCGCTACCCAATTGTTACGATCCAGTCCCCTCCTCTCGTAATATATCATCTTCGCTACCCAATTGTTACGATTGTGAAGGTCAAGTATGTCTTATAAGCGACAGGAAGTGCTACTATTTGTAATGTATGTTTTTGATGGGTTTGTTGCATATTGCCCAGCCATGTTAGGTGTATTTGAAGAGACAGGAAGGGCTTACACTTCTGGGGCACATGAAAGTGTCGAAATTAATTGTTTAAGCCGTCATTGTTTATGGAATTATTTCATATTGAGATTGTTATGGACATTCAACTATGAGATATTCATGTAATAAATGTTAAATAATATAAGTTTTACGAATTTTTATTCCAAAAGGTACACATTCGTTGATAAATTGATTTGGAACATTGGCACTGGCTAATTTTGAATTTTCAAAAGAATTTCAAGAAGGGAAAAGAGGTCGAGCACTGCTGCAATGTGACCACTATTCAAAGCGATGAAAATATAAAATCTGGTTTAAAAGATGTTAAATGTAAGTTCGTTGCCTGAGACGTTAACTCCAGCACTGAAAATCAATATACAAACTCTAGCGCTGCAGATGTGAAGACTAGCACAGGAAATATATTAAACATCTAGCGCTGAATATGTTAAGTTCAGTGTTTTAGATATATTAAGTCATGCACTGAAGATTTAAAGTATACAATAGCGCAGAAGATGAAAAGTCCAGCGCCACAAGTGTTAGCTCCAGCGCTTTTGATTTGAAATTATGCGGTGAAGATGAATAATATATAGCAATTCCAAAAAACAAATACGTTTTGCACAATTTATATACAATATAGGTACATTGTCGGAAATTATTAAATTCATTTGCACGAGCTTTCGAAACAGGAAAAAAGCAGGGCTTATTTTTCACCAATGTGTATTTCAATGTTTGATCCTGCAAATGACGCTTTACGTTTAGTTTGTATTTTTATTCTCAACTGTTGTGTTTGATTGTTTTAGGACTTGCATATTGCGTGACCATACACATGCTTGTTAATAAACTCCCTTTGATCTCCAAGACTTCATATGAACTATCAATGCAAACATATCCAGCAATAGACTTTATACATATTCAACCGATAGACTATACATCTCTAGCAATAGACTTTACATATCCAGCGATAGACTAAACATATTCATCAATAGACTTAACACATACATCAATAGACTTTACATGTCCAGCGATAGAATTTTCGTATCCTTCAATAGACTTTACATATCTATCAATAGACTTTACATGTCCACCGATAGGATTTTGACCGAAGTACATTTTGTATGAAGCGCGGAAGTGCTTCATTCTAAAAATGTACGCACATTAAAAATAAAGGAAAATATATCATAGGGAATAAGACAATCAAGTCAACGGGTATCTGTTGAAATCAGAAGAGTGCAGTTATTATTCTGAGAAACACGAAAAAAATGGATTCAAACATGGTAACCCCACCACATTATTAATTATCCGTCCAAAGCATTGGTAGTTGGTTGATGTTTGCCATAATTGATTTTCGTTAATTATTTTAGTTTAAAACTGGCCGTTGTTTTTTTTTTTTTAGAATGTTTTCACATTTTGTAGGGGCGCCTTTAATAGCTAACTATACGCTATGTGTTCTAATTGTTGTAGGCCGTACGATGACCTATAGTTGTTCGCATCCATGTACTATACGCTATGTGTTCTAATTGTTGTAGGCCGTACGATGACCTATAGTTGTTCACATCAATGTACTATACGCTATGTGTTCT